ATAATATATTCTATTTTACCCGATAAAATAATATATATTTAAAACAGTCTGAAAAATACAACTTTTGGGGCAAACTGTACACTTCTAGACAAAGAGGGTTGACCTCCCACATGTGTGGGGGCCAACCCACGTTTTTAGCAACCCAAAGTAATGGGTTGGTCGGCTGGTTGGAATGGGAAACATGGGGGAGGATTTTTGAGTTGAAAGAAAAAGCATCAAACAAAATGAGGTGGACCCCCATCCACCCTCATTTGATCTTTGAGACAAAAGGACCATCTCCTCACCTCTTGTTAAGACACGGGGTTCCATCCTAAAAGGTCAACCTGATAGGAGGAGTAGTCCATGTGTTAATATAGCACTTGTTCATCCAAATCTTTCCGGTGTGGGATATTTAACACCCCTCCTCACGACCAGACACTTCGTCTGGATCGTGCCATCATTAATTTTTTTTTTCATCCGGCCGTAATTATCATTTTTTTTATAATCGTGTCATCACGATTCATAAGGGGCCCACACCATGGATCGATTTGGCTCTGATACCATGTTAAGACACGGGGTTCCATCCTAAAAGGTCAACCTGATAGGAGGAGTAGTCCATGTGTTAATATAGCACTTGTTCATCCAAATCTTTCCGGTGTGGGATATTTAACACCTCTCTCTCCCTCATCCCTGCGGCCAACACCCAAGCAAGAGCAAAGGAAAATCCTCCATCCTTCATTCTCCATTTTTGGAGAGAGCTCTACAAGGAAGGACCTCAAGAAAGGAATTAAAGTGCTAAAAGTGTGGAAATTAAGGTGATAACCTTATCATAAACTTTTCTCTATTTTTCCTTCCATCATATGATATATATATATATATATATATATATATATATATATATATATATATATATATATATATATATATATATATATAGATATAGAGTCTTGATCTTGTCCAGACGTCCGGACAGGAACCGCCGTCCGGCCGGCGGCGTTTGGCCGCCTTCCCGGTGGAATTTTTTGATGAAATTTTTATGGCATGTTCTCCATCAAGTCTAGTTTATCCAAAAAAAATCAGCCAAAAACTCAATCGGGAAGGTTGTCAAATGATTTTTGCAAGTTAACTGGTCCGGAAAATACATACATATATATATATATATATATATAGGGTGCGGTTCCGGTGAGAACACCCTCTTAGGAGAGGAAAAAAGATTAAAATACAACCATTGATTAGTGGAATCATGCGGCTAAGATGTGAGCTTGGGACGTTTAAAAAAAGCACGTGATGCATGCGTGTTGCAAATTAAAATGCCAACCGTGCATTTAGAAAGCTTTCAAAGGGTAAATGGGTAAAATCCTTCTGCCATTAATTAAGGCAGTTCGGCACACCAATTCCTATATGGCAAGAATCTCGGTTAATAAACAATAATGATATTTAACTTGGGAATCATTTAAGTGCATTGGAAAAGACCATTTTGAGGATGATATTATAAAATAAAAAATAATGATGATGAAGCGCACAATGAGTATTGACTTCGTACACTAAAATTTAATATGAAAGGGCATTCAGATATTATTATGCATTTTTGATAAATTTAGTATGTACCCAAATAAATTTAAAGTGCACCAAAAAAAAGGTAAATGTGCATTGAGAAATGAGATATATATACATTATAGAAAAATTTAGTATGCACCAAAATGTATTTAACGTGCAATGTATATTTACATATGTTTAATGTTTAAAAATATGTTTTATGTGGATCATTCTATTATGTACTTCATTTGAGTTATTGTGCACTTCTAACATTGAGGTACACATTTTGTAGTTGATCTACGATTGTTCTATAAAATTCAAATAGTTTTATAGAATACTTTTATTTGATATATATTTCTGCACTTTTTGGTACAACTAGCCATACTTTTGATCGAAGTATGTTAAAATTCTCTACGTGCACTTTTATTTATATTGATTTGCACTTTTAATATGACAATCTAACTCGTTGATTTGCATGTGAGCCATTGTGCACTTTTGCAGCAAATGTTGTATGAATTTTAATCATACAATTTATATGCACATTTCGTGCTTCACGATGCACTCAAATATTTTACTGAATGCACCTTTATGCAATAATAAGCTAAATGGAGCAAATTAATTGTAGATGGAAAAAGGGAGCAAATTAATCACTTGATTGGTGGGTGGTACAACCGCACAAATGGTTAAGATATCATTTTAAATGTACAGAAAAGTGCACTTCAATGTATACAAAAGTGCGACATTACATCACACTTTCTAAATATCTACTTGCACCCTTATTACAAAATGAAATGCACTTAAATCACGTGCATGTGAAATATATACAAAAGTGCACTATTATAACAAACTTTTTGCAATTTTACATTGACATTTTATACAAAATTAAAGGCACTACTTCTTCGAAACGAGTCACTTTTTCTCTATTAGCATTGCATCCTATCGTATCTGCAAAAAAGCAAAAAATTAAAAACTAATGAAAGTGCATGTCCAAAGCTTGTTAAGTGCATAATACAAAGCTTAATAGAAAAGTGCGACATATAATCACACTTTCTAAAGTTCTACATACACCCTTACTTATTACAAAATGAAATGCACTTCAATCATTTGCATTTGAAATACATACAAATGTGCACTATTATAACAAACTTTCTGCAGTTTTACATTGACATCTTCTACAAAATCAAATGCACTTTTTCTTCGAAATGAGTCACTTTTTCTCTATTGACATTGCATCGTATTTGCATCTATTGAAAGTGCATGCCCAAAGCATGAGAAGTGCATAATAAAAAACTTTAAAGAAAATCATATTTAATATTGTCTGGAAATAAAATGTCAAATGCATAACTAAATTAACATAAATACTTACGGTAGGAGCATATGATAAACTCCAAGAGAGGAAACGATAACAGAATTCTTCCAACCATGATTGATATACATCAGAAAACGATAAACTCCAAGGGCATGACGTTTAAAATATTGAAACATTATTAGAATTATACATCCAAACTGTACTATACAATGTCGAATTTGTATATATGCAGTATCTCAATAAAAAAGGGACATAATTATACATATATTAATCCCCCTTAACTTAATCCAATAAAAAAAACGCACACAACCCATGGAAAAGATCACGCAGCAAACATAGAAAATAGTACTTCGTATGAAACAAACGAAACTTACTGAACTCCATGGATGAACGTTAGGTGGAGCAGACAACTCAGAAAAGAAAAAGCAACGATCAATGTCGACAACGGAAAAGAAACGATCAATACGCGCAAGGAGAACAGCACGATGAAAGAGGCAGGAAACTATCTTTGGAAAGAATTGAGGAGAAACGGTTATGGAAAGAATAATTCAGCGTGATCTTAGGCGCAGGAAAGAATAGGATTTACGTTTCTACGTAATTGACTTGGCTACCCTTGGAATCATTTAGGCGCACAGATTATTAGAAGATAATCCAACGATCCATTTCTATTCTTTTTCCCTCTCCTAAGATTAAGTTCTCACATGAACCTAAATCTATATATATATATAGAGGAATGATCCTGTCCAGCCGGAGGGACAGGATCATCCGTCCGGCCGCCGCCGTTTGGGGCGGTTCCCGGTGGAGTTTTTTGATGAAATTTTTATGGAATGTTCATCATCAAGTCTAGTTTATCCACAAAAAATTTCAGCTAAAAATTCAATCGGGAAGGCAGTCAAATAATTTTTTGAAGATAACTGCTCCAACTTAAACATATAAAACGCAGTTATGTTTCAAAAAATTATTTGACTGCCTTCCCGATCGAATTTTTAGCTGAATTTTTTTTTGGATAAACTAGACTTGATTAGGAACATTCCATAAAAATTTCATCAAAAAAATCCACCGGGAACCGCCCCAAACGGCGGCGGCCGGACGGAAGATCCTGTCCCTCCGGCTGGAAGTGTACTTTGGCAAGGATGATGCATATTTTTCCCCTGGGGAAGGGCCGGTGTTGCGTAAGGTTCAAACAACGTTTGCATTGAGGCGCTGTTACACCTTGGTGTTTATCAAGCGTGTCCCTGGGATGGCGCTGTTGATGGCCATTTCACCATGTGGAGTGGAAGAACCACCCAGGCGGGCCAAAAAATATGAAATCTCGACACTTGCATGCGCCAATACCACTGCCCCTTCCACATGATTGTTGTTCTGCGAGATTCTTGTTTCTTTGTTTAGTGGTTGCAGGTTGATGTAGGCTTTAAGAAACTGAATGGGGAACTTGTAATTTTGCAGTTCAATCTGGTTTTTAATTTCAAACTCTTTGCAATGTGTAATGTTTATTATCTATGTAGTTGTAAAGCTGAATTGTATGTTTCTTATCAAATGATGTTTTTAGTGCGTTCTAGGTTGGTTGGCGTAGAAAAAGGAATGGGGAGGCAATTCATTGCCCATTGGCTGTGAATGTATTTGTTTTGGTTTTTCCCTTTTGTTGGGTATTTTAAAGACATACCAAATCAAGAGAAGTAGTTTTGGTGAGTTTAGATGTAAACAAAAGAAATCACATGAATGGTGTATAAAATGTAAGTGTATAAACATGCAAGGAAGGGTTTTTTAAGAAATAGGTAAATGGGGGTTAGCAAAGTGCAGATCAGACAATAAATAAATGTTTTGTTTTGAAATAATTTTTTTTGTATGACTCTAAAATGTATTTAAAGTGTGTGAAAATAAAAAACAAAAACATAAAAAAATAGGGGAGAAAACTAATTTTGAGTAGGGGAAAGGGGGGAATTATTGAGTATATAGCGGTAAAAGTGAAAGTATATTAATGTTGTTTGTCAATTAAAGAATAATAAAGCGCATAACGTTCATTTTTTCCTTGACATATCAATTCTTTTTTATAAAATTTGGGTATAAGGCAGTTCAAAAGGTGGTATTGCATAGAATGAACAGGCCGGCAAGTCAAGCATTTCTAAGTTAAAGATCAGGTAGGGGGTGAAAAAGTACAGGCAAAGACTGGGGCAAGTTAAGCAGCTGAACCTAACAATACCATGACAGTGCATTAAATAAAACGGAATCTACAAGGACATAACATTCATAGAGCCAAAGACTGGGGTAAAACCGTTTGTCAAAAACAGCTAATATACAGCATAATCCCTTAAACCTGCAAAGTAGGAGCCAATAGCCCAGTTTGTGCAAAAACAAAGATGTACATGCATCATTTGGCAGCAAGTAATGTTAGTCAGAAACTCTTATTTTCTACCTATTATACAGACCATGAGTTTGAGCAAAACAGATGGGCTTACTAAAGTTTGATGTGTTGCCCGTGCACTAATTTACAAATATGTGCATACTATTGTAATAGCATTTTTTTCGATGTAGCAAACCATAGCATTTGTTGGGGTTCAAGTGTTGCCATCCTTAGTTCTTTTGCCACGCAGATTTCCCAGTGATTCTTCAGTCTCAGCCTCATGGTGTACCGGAAGAGTAGAAATAGCAGAGCATTCGGGAGGTAGGTCAGTAGGTGATTCGAAATCTAGTTTTCGTTTAGCTTGAGAAGAGGTTGCATAGGATGAGAGTGGTGGGGGACTGGTAATAGGAGGGGAGGCAGCCAGGGTGGGTAATTCTTGGGAGACAAAGACAACAGTGTAAGGGTTTGTTTGAATTCCTTCCTCATTGGGCTTTGAGTGTTTTATGCCAGCCACAATGTTCAGTGTTTGCAATTTTGCGTCAAAGTCTTCCAAGTTTGTGGCTACATTAGGGTCCATGCATGCATACTTAAAAAGGGCAAGTATGTCATTGGTGAAAAGTGTGACGGCAATGGAAGCGGTGCTATCAGTGAGGTAAGCATCAAGCCTGAATCTGAATATTATTTAAGATATTAGTAATAGAATGCAAGGAAACCATACTGTGTGGTGTTACTGTGGGAGTTACCGCTTCGTAGTTGTGCCGAGCTTTTGCCCACAGAACAGACATTGGAAAGTTATGCCTTCAGGACCGTAGACTCTGCGATTGCAGTAGTTACAACCAATGTAGAAGAACTCTTGGGAGGTATCAACCAAACTAAACTTTCCTAATACCCATACAACAATAACCTGGAAACAGAAATAATAAAGAAATAAATATTTGGAACATGCAGGAGGGAGGTGATGCGTGGGAGGGGGGAGGGGGAGGGGGGGATTTATTTTTTAAATGACAGGTAATATGTAAATGTATATTGCCTACCTCAAGTAATCCAGTTTCTAAGCCTGAAAGGGTGCTTCGTGGTTGCGCAAGAGGCTTTGAAATGATTGAAAGTGCATCATTGTACGCTTTATCCTGCACCAATGTGGCAATCTTGATTGCATTCCCATCCACCCTGTTGTAATGGCACCATAAAATGAAATGTGCTGATATTTTTTTTTGTAATAGTAGGTCAAGAGGGAAACAAGGACCTTGTTTGCAAATAAGGATACTGTTTTTAAAATATGCGTGTACCATTTTTTTAATGACAGAGCACGAGCGCCGTCAGGGTTGAGTTCCATGTGGCAGTCATATCTAGTAGACAACGCTAGACCTGTAAAGTAATGAAGAAATTTACCAAGAGATGCACCATGCATACGATTAAAATGGAGTTAGGGAGGGGGTAACCTTGGAATAGGTTGATCGCAACCCTGTTGATGAGGACAAGGGGGTAACCACCCGAGTTCAGAAGCTTTTCGATTTCACCACCATGCTTGCTGACAAATTCCTCCCACATAGTAAATGGGAGAGGGATGCACCTGTTTAGGATGGTAGGTGAAAGGTAGGTGTGTTATTGGGTGGGTGATAATACCAGTAAGAACATGGGATGAGTTAGATGGGCTACATACTCTTCGTTTATAACAACAACATCCCAAGCAGTCCGCTGTTTCCCATCGGAAACAATAAAGGTGCGGGGTAATTTCTTTACAATTGCACCCAAGATATCTGTATTAGGCCATGTAAATGAAAGTTACTGTTCTGACAAAAGTAGCAGACGTAAGGAGAGGTATTGTAGAGGTACGTACTGATACGTGTGGCATGTTGATAACTGTCAAAGATATCGCGGAATGCTGCAGTTTCTGATTCAGCAATCTCACGAAAATCAACCCCTTCTGGCGCATCGACATCTTGTATCAGGGTTCGCCGATTGAATGACCATACATAAGGGTAGTTAACGTCAATGCAGTAGCGCATTTGAGTCACAGGTTTCACATAAGCGTTCGAGATGAGGTACGTGGAGTACACGGAAAGACGTTGATCAATCCCTTCTATATCACCCTGGAATGCAGTGGCCTGGACTTTGGTTCCCTGTATAGTTAAGAAAAACAAAAAAAAATGTAAATACTGAACGGCTAATAATGAGTAGTAGATGGTGGGCCCAATAAAAACAAAAGTACACTCACAGTAGAGTCCTGCAATATCATCGGCATGAACTTCATTGGTGACGTCTTCGCTGTGCGTATGTTTTGTTTTTCAATCAAGGTGAGACGACAGGTCCATTGGTAGGTGTTGGGTTTTACATCGGTTACCAAGACTTCAACTGACATTGTTGTAAGTTCCTGTAGTAAAAAAAAATATGAATAATGTGGGGGAGGCTATCAATATTGTTAAAAGGGGTGGAAACGAAATACGATAGGATAAGAAGTGGAGTGGAAAATATAAACCTGATAGTAAACATGGAAGCTAATTAATAAAAGGTAAGATTTCATCATAAACAACATTGGTTGTTGTATCGCGGAGGGATGGTTGGGGATTGTCGGGGCAAATCACAATCTTTATGGATTCAACATTCCGAGCTCTGGACATAGCAACATACAGTTGACCGTGGGAAAAAACTGGTTCTTTCAAGTAGATGCCAACAAAATCAAGGGTCTGGCCTTGTGACTTGTTTATGGTCATTGCAAAGCACACTTTAATGGGGTATTGGATGCGCCTAAATGGAATTGGACAATTTTCTTCTTTTGATACTTCAAGGGGAATTTTGGGGATAAATACATGTTTTCCTTTGTGGTCACCAGAAGCAATGAAGCAACTTAGAATATGATCTCCAAATGAATCACAGATTAATCTAGTTCCGTTACATAGACCCTCACATGGGTTAAGATTGCGCAGCAACATTACAGGACAATTACGTTTCAGATTCAATTTATGAGGTGGCAGGCCAGAAGGTGATAGTGTGTGAAGGTAATCTGCGCAGTGCATATTTTTTGAATCTATAGGGATATCATGACTGAGATAGATGTGATCTTCTCCTGGGAACTTACCCATCAAGGATGAATTGATGAAGTCGACTATGATATTTTTTGTTGTGAGTATAGCTCGGTTCATCAAAGAGTAGGCATCTGTTTCAAATATGTGTAAGTTTGGGTATACGGCAGTGAAAAGTGTATCAAGCGAAGCAATTTCAGTGGTCCAAGGAAGCAGAAAGTGAGCTGGGATTTGTATCCTGTCTGCTGTGACAGTGGGTTCAGTTCTATTGCCAATGCGCATCAAGTAATTGCTGAATGCAGGATCTTCATGAGCACGCATATTAACAATGAGTCTGAGTCGGCAAACATGAGGCCATATTGTTTGTGATCTAAGTAGGCACGCATCCACAAAATCATGCCTTGTGCCTGATCAAACAACTGGTATTGTTTGGCGAAAATCACCACCAAATACCATAACACTACCTCCAAAGAGAGCATCTACACCCAAAATATCTCTCATTGTTGTATCCAAGCTTTCAATAACTTTGCGGTTCGCCATAGAGGCCTCATCCCACAAAATGAGTCTTGCTTCTTTAAGCAACCGAGCCTCTGATGACTGTTTTCCAATATTACAGACATATTTGGCCTCCCCGTCAAGAGGTAGTTTAAAACGCGAGTGGGCAGTCTGCCCACCAGGTAATATGGATGCAGCAATGCCTGAACTGGCAGTTGCAAAGGCAATCCATTTGTTTACTCTGGTGGCAGCTAGTAGACATCTATATAAGAAAGTCTTGCCGGTCCTGCCAGGGCCATCAACAAAGAATACATCACCCGTTTGTGACCACACGACAGACATTATAGTTTTAAAAGCTGAGCGTTGCAGATCATTCAGGAAGGATATGCCGTTGATATCCATATCACTTACAATTATGTTATGTTCTGCCAAAAGTTCACGTGTAGTTCCCTCAGTCACAGGTATGGTGAGGTCAATGTCAGTTAGTTTAAAAGAATCAATGTCCTTGCCCATTTCAGCAAACAGATCGCGCAATAAATTTAGTGTAGTTAATTCGGCCTCCGCAGTATTCTGAAGTCTGCAAAAGTCTTCACATAAAGCACTTTTGTATTCCTCCCACAATATACGGGGATCAGGGACATCTGAGTAGCATAAATGCGTGGCAAATAATTTTCGCAGACTGGTTGGAAGTTGGAATAATGTAGCCTCATCAAGCGATGCTCGTATAACGAAGTCACCAGACAGTAGTCCCAGACGTTCAGCTGCAAGTCTGAATGTGGGAGCTTCAATCCTGTCAACAGTTTTTAAGGCTGAAAAGGAAACAGGCGAACGAACGTTGGCTAGTAACAGACGAAGATAATAACGTTCTCCTTCAGTAGGATTGACAGAAACAAGTCTGCCAAGGACTTCCTGTCTTTTTCGTTGGGTCCAGTGCCTTTGCTGTGAAGACCATACAAAATAATGGGAGAATTCAATGTAAAGTAGATTCAAATTTTTTGCAACTTCATCAGAATGATTCATAGTAAAGAATTCTGTTAGCATTGTGCGTAGTGAATCAGCAGACTGGGTGATGTAGGTGATGCGTTGGTTACCATAGAAGGTGAGGTATTGGGAATTTTCCAAATGAACTTGCAACTGTAGGACATCAGGTTTTATTTCTGAGATTGGAAAACCGAATACCCGCCATGCAGCCTCAGGAGCAGAAACCCAGCGTGCTTTTTGGAAATCACTGATTTCATCAATGACTTCACCGGTTGCTGTACCACTTAATGACATACTAATTCGATCGTGACCCTTATACACATATTTATATATATATTTGACTGACTTTACGCTCGCACAAGCTTCAACATTTATGTGACAGTCATATTTGCGCAACAAGTGAGGGTTGTAACACCCCGGCCCCTGGGACCCGAGGTAGTTACTCCGGACCAATAGTACTGTCCTCACAAACCACCACAAGCCTTTACCGCACACTTTGTCCTCACTCATGCGCGCCCTGAGAAACTTCCCAGGGGGTCACCCATCCCAAGACTGCTCCCGTGCAAGCACGCTTAACTTTGGAGTTCTTGGCGGATGAGCTCCCGTAAAAGGAGATGCACCTCTGTTGGTATGAGTAGTACTATTAATCCATTTATATTAAATCTCAAGTGTTACAAGGGTTGTAAGGTACAGCCCAACGGTTGTCCAGCCAATGCTTTCTCACCTGAACAGTAACTCCCGATTCCCTTCTCCTGTAAGTAGGAAAAGAATTTTCATCGAAAAGCGTATTAGGCGTAAAAATGCGGAGGAAGTTGCTTCTGCATGAAGGTGAGGCAGACCCATGTGATACAACCATGCAAGGGCATTTCAAGTTCATGGAACCACATGGTCCATGTATCATATGCTTTTTCACAAGCTCATACAATACTGGGTTTTCACGGGGATCAGAAAGTTCAGCGGTGATGAGACTATCACACTGAGAAGGTGTACAAATCTTAAAGTCTCGAGCTAGAATGAGTAGGAAATGGGCATGAGGTAGGCCTCTTTTTTGGAACTCAATGACATACGTGTGTGCAACGACCTTCCCAAACAATGCTTTTGTCAAGATGTCCTTTTTAAAGTCTTCTAAGCGTGCACGGAACACGCGGGCAACAAGTTCTGGTCAGTTTTGGGCTTCATCAAGAAAAGAAAGGTGTTCCTTGATTTCGGGCCAATTTGGGTTACACGTGATTGTAATGAACAAGTCTGGTTTACCATAATGTTGAACAAGGGTCATTGCATCCATGTATCGCCCACGCATATCACGTGGGCCCCCAATAAATGACCCTGGTAACATAACACGCTTTCCAACATCACTGGTATTATCCAAACCAGCACCAACACTGTCAACCAACCCTTGATATGTCGCGGACCAAAATTCATGTTGTTTGCTGCGATAGTAGTCCAACCTCTGTGTCTCAATTTTAATGTACAAGTCCACAATATATTGCTGTAAAAGGCGGCCAGAATGTAGGATAAAAGATGAAGATTCATGACGCATTTGTAACTTGTACGCATAATATTGGCGACATGACACTGATTGTTTCTTCTTGCCCTCAGTGTGTACATGGTTCTCATTTGCAATGATGGTGGCGTCCGAATCAAGCACTGTGGTCCCTATTGTGAACAATGCCACATGTTGGGAACCGGGGGGCAGAGACAGGTTGACCTTTAGGAATCCCCTCGTGCCAACCAACTTCTCCAAGTGGAAAAAGCAGATGGTATTGTAATGGATCATAACAACCATAATAGTAATGAATGTTTTGACATCTGCCACTATGTGCGTACACGCGAATGCTTCTTTTTGAAGCAATATTTTCATCCCCATCCTCGACCCATACAGCGGCAACCTGAGATGCAGTGGGACGGTTATAAATACGTTGATCTAGTCTCGGATTTCCATTTAGAACTATGGAAAATTCAGCACCCTGATCAACTTCAGTGAGTCTTTTAAAAAATTGCGCATACGGGTTAGCAGACATTACTGCCATCAGCTGTGCAACCACATCCTTTTCCAACCGTTCCGTGGAGGATAATCTATTGTTAAGGGCTTCATCTGTGTCGTAGAAATAGAGCTGTAAATTCCGAGGTGGGCAACCAGTAGGTAATAAGTCATCAATGAAATGATATATTTGCCCCTGAACCCTGAATGTGTATATTCCTTGATTACGTCTGCAAAGGTTTTTGTCAAAATTGTATATTCCTATAAAAGTGAATGCAAATGTGTTGTTATATGTGCGCACACACGAACGGAAGTGTTTAGCCATCTGATCTTGGGAAGTATATAAAGTTCGAAGTTGTTCTGGCATCTCAGTTGAGGTAAGAACGACATCCCCCTTACTGCAGCACATGCCTGGAGGTTCATATTGAATCCGTTCAGCCCCGCACAAAGGGCAATCTGACACAGGCTGTAGGCGGTATGGTTCAATATGAATAGCAGGTAAATATCTTGGATTGTTAGGGGCAAGTGGTAAAATTTCAGTGCCTACGCTTCAGTTTTTTTGTTGACATACATTACGGAGGTAGATTGTGTTTGTGATTTTATGTGGTGAGATGACAGGTTTTACGATAACCAAGTACAATTACAAGAGCATCAGTGTCAGTCCATATATGTGGGGTAATGAAGTGGTAAACAGGGCAAGGGGTAATATGGTAAAGATATGGTTTTGCCGAAGATTTTGATGTGTTACCAATTTAGAATCAAGTAACAGCCAGGATGAGCACGACAGAAGGAAGAGGTACATAATGGGGAAAAATATATAGGTTAGCCAGGGCAAAAAAGGGAGTGGTCGAAAAT